CTAAGGTCTGAACACAATTAAGAATCTAAAAATGTACTAAATACAGTCTAAGGAAGACAAGAGGGAGAAAAGCAGTGCTGCGAACGTCGGGCAGCCACCTTAGTAACTCCAATGACTCTGCCACTAAGCAATCAACACCTGCTACCGGGTTCAACTTTCAATAGTTTCAAACGAGTGAAAAACAACAGTAAGTAAAAATGATAGAACGTCAACAGCCCCTCGGGAAAACATGTACCATAAACCGCCCCTCGGGCATAATATCAACAGAACCAGCCCCTCGGGCTACCTCAAAATCACTCGTAATCAGTCCCTCGGGCATAACATGAATCAACAACCGCCCCTCGGGCAACATGGATCAAGAACAGCCCCTCGGGCTCCAATAAGAAACAACAACAGCCCCTCAGGCTACAACATATCACACACACTGGGTACCCGCGTGTGTACAGACTCCGGGAGGGGCCCCTTACGGCCCAAGCGCAATATCAAGCCATCTCGTGGCATAATCAATATATCACTCACTCAGGGTACCCGCGCTCACTGGGGGTGTACAGACTCCGGGAGGGGCCCCTTACCGTCCAAGCGCAATAACAAGCCATCTCGTGGCATAACCAGACAGGTTCTCGGCCTCATATCAATCACAAGCCACCTCGTGGAATAATAAATCAGGCCCTCGGCCTCTCATATATCACAAATCAGTACCACATGCTGCAGCGCGCAGCCCGATCCCACGATATCCTCACAATACAGGCCCTCGACCTCACTCAGTCAGATCTCACTCAAGCCCCTCGGGCTGACAGTAAAACAAGTACTCGGCTCAAAATCATTTTATGAAATCAAAAGGAGTGAATAAAACCGAGTTATAAAAATAGTAAAAAAATAGCATGACTGGGTGTAAACATTAACCAAAATAGTGAGGTAAAACATTAGTAAAATCCCCTAAGGGTCCAAACAATCGGCACAAGGCCCACACACGGCATTTAGCCCCAAACACAATATTATTTTCCAAAATATAACAATATCAAATAGTTTTCAAGTAAAATACGCGACTTAATAGTCGTACGGGATGGACCAAGTCACAATCCCCGGCGGTGCACGATCCCACGCTCGTCATCTAGCGTGTGCGTCACCTCAAAATAGCACAACGATGTGAAATCCGGGGTTTCATACCCTCAGAACAGTATTTACAATCATTACTTACCTCAATCCGGTCCAAACTCTAGCTCGCGATGCCTTTGCCCCTCGAATCGGCCTCCGGATGCTCCAAATATAGCCAAAATCAGATTCATACCATCAAAATATGCTAAGGGAACAAAGCCCATTCGAAAATATCTAATTTATACCAAAAATCCTGAAATTGGACAAACCCGGCCCACGTCTCGGAACTCGATAAGATTTACGCCAAAATGATCCTCATCCTTCCCCAAGTCTATACATATCAAGAACACTGAAATCGGGGTTCAATTGACCCCTCAAATACTCATTTTAAGGTCTCTTAATCTCAAGCCCTAATTACCCATTTTGCACTGATTTTTCCCAAAATTTCACCACTAATTAGGCCTTTAATCACATATAAACGAGCTATGAAGTCAAGAATCTTACCTCCAAGAGATTACCCTTTGGTTTCCTCAAGAATCTCCCTCAAAAGCTTCAATCCCGTTCAAAAACAGTGGAAAAATGAAGAAGGGTCGCGGATTGGCTATTTAATACTGCCCAGGCATTTACCCTATGCTATCGCGGACAATTTAACGCGATAGCGAAGCGCAAAATTTTCCAGTCCTTCTTTTACCCTATGCGATCGCGGCCATTCCTCCGCGATCGCGTAGACCAAATTTTTCCAACAGCCTTCTCCAACTCTTCTGAATATCCTCTAATATAATGGTCATAACTTTTTGTACATAACTTCAAATTATAATTGGTTTAAATTTATGAAAACTAGACATCAGGGGCTACAACTTTCATTTTTGAATCATCTTCAAATTCCTTATAGATTGTGAGATAAGCTTCCAAAGTCGGGTCAGTGCAGCAGAAATTTTACTTTATGCGATCGCGTGAAGACTTACGCAATCGCATAGCACAGCTCCATTTTTCCAAATTTTCTCTATGCCAACGCGGCCAGATCTATGCTAACGCACTGTACACCCTTGAAGCCAAAAACCAGCAACTAGAAATGGCCTAAAAATGGTCCGAAACCACCCCGAAACTCACCCGAGGCCTTCGGGACCTCAACCAAACATGCCAACACATCCCATAACATCATTCAAACTTAGTCGAACCCTTGAAACACCAAAAACAATTCAAAAACACCGAAATCACATCAAATTCAAGCCTATGAACGTTGAAATTTCTAAATTCCACCAACGATGCCGAAACCATCCAAAACACTTCCGATTGACCTGAAAATTTTCACACACATCCAAAATGACATTACGAACCTGTTCCAACTTCCGGAGTTCCATTCCGACCCCTATATCAAAATCTCACCTATCAACCGGAAAACGCCAAAATCTCAATTTTGCCAATTCAAGCCTAAACCTTCCGCGGACCTCCAAAATACATTCCAATTCGATATCATATACTAACAAGATAAAACTTGGTCAAATCTTTCGAACTTTAAGCTTCAAGCTGAGGATCATCCTTCCATATCTATTCCGATTAACCTGGAATCCAAAACCGACGATTTACATAAGTCACAATACATAATACGGGGCTAGTTATGCCCGAGAACTGGCGAGCGAAGTGCAAAAGCTCAAAATGACCAGTCGGATCGTTACAATCACACAAGATCACATCCGCATACCTTCCAATAGAGAATGGCAATAACACTCTTTTATCTACCTTTACTCATTTTCACATGTAGGGTTCAATATGCTCAACACAAGGCAAGTTCAATTTCTCAACCATATAAGTGCTAATTGAGTTATAGCCAAACTCTTTATCAATTCTAAGGGCACAAATCCCAGACACCACTTTTGTTTGAAAAATAACTTTATTGTTGTCTTCCTTCAGTTCGGTATACTGAAAGTTCGACTTTTTAAGTTGTTGAGTCATAGTTTGCCTCCTTTCTTCATAACTACCTGTTTGAGACATCTTGACAAAAGATTAGAAGAAATATGTATCTCTTCAATTTGGCTTTTTCCCTATAATGCTCTCACCTCTCTTGCCTTTTTCCACTCAAAGCAACTTTTAAGAATAAACCTTACTAGTCACAACCCTTAGTGATAAGAATAGGGGTTAGAAAAAGAAGAAAAAAAAGTGAAGGACAAAACCTAGGAAGAATATGAATTGGTTAGTCGGGAAAAAAAGAATTTTAGAAAACCCAAAACCCACAAGAATAAGAAGTTTCTTTAAACTTCTAGAACAAGGATCCCCTTTTCTTATTTCCTTTGTTAATTTTTGGAAACAAATTAAATACAAAAGAAATTTCTTGGAGAGCAAGCAATTCTTTTCTTTTTTAACAGATTTTGGTTTTTTTTTTTTTTTGCTTTTTTTTCTTATTTTTTTTCAAGTTACTATTCACGATGCTACAGTAACGTTTTTTTTCTTCTTTTTTTTTTTGCTCTTAGTATTCAAGAAATTCCAAGAATTATTAAGAATGACATCTTGATAGAACCGCTCTGATACCACTTGATAACACCACGATAGGTGTCCAATAACTACTAAAGAAAATCAAGAAACGTGCTGAAGCTAAAAGAAAATAAAGAAAGGAAAGAGGCGTAAATTAAAGATAGATTGAATTCAAGAAAGAGTTTCTTGAATTCAAGAAGTCTAAACTCTTTCTTGAAGATTAGTCCTAACAACAATAATTAGCTAACGAAAAACTAATCGCCTTTGGTAGAGGTTAAAAATAAGAGATAGATTGTGAAACCCGACCCTTTAGAATAACAAGAACAACAATAAGCCTAAACTTATCACCTTTCTTGAATACCTAGAAGTGATCTAAGATTTCGAAGAATTCATCTTACCACCTTGAGTTGAGTCTTGAAGGTTGAAGAATAAATCCAAGAGTATCCACACACAAGAGTGCAAGAAAAATCTCAAATTTTTTATTGATAATAGTCTGAATAATCTAAATCTAAAAACAAAGAAGACGCCCTTTATATAGGTAGGAGGGGGTCACGAAATGAAGGCTAAAAAAATAAGGAAATAAAGTGCTAAACTACTTTGAACAACAAGTCCAACTATCTTAGGAAAAGGAAAATACTAGGAAACAAAACCAAGCCATTCTTGGAAAGTAATTCCAACAATCTTAGGAAAAGGAAAACATAACCTTAGCTAACTAGGAAAGCAATAAATATAGTCCCAAAATATATGGAAATAAGTCACAAACCAATCTTGGATAAAATCTTGAAGGAAATTTGCAAGCAACTTGCCACCAACTTGCACTCAACATTTAGTAACGACTATTGTACCTTTCTTGGACATCAAGTAAGTCTTTTTTATGTTATAAAAATGTGGCTTTATGTAGGACTTCATGGGCTGCATGTTTGGACACATTTTAGGTGCCTAATTGATCCAAAAGTGGACTGATTGGAACATTGTTCAAAGGATGTCTCTTGGGATCCAGCACTCCTCTTCTTGGACATAAATTTGAGCTATAAAACAATTTTAACACCTAGCCAATTCACAACCTTTATTCTTGAGCTCTTCTTCCTCCCAGTTAACTACTTCTTTATTTGTACTAAGTCTAATGACCTTGTTTGGTAACTCTTTAGCTTGACATCTTGTTAAAGACTATCTTTGAGATTCCAAAGCTTTATTCTTGTCCTTGAATAGATTTGAGCTTCCTAGGATGTTAATGATATTCGTCCTCAAGTTCAAGATTCATGCACTACTAGTATACAATTATTTTACATTATAAGATTAAATTAGCCTAAAATGGGAGGTATTAATTAAAAAAATGTAATAGCATGCTATAAATTGTACTATTATACAATTAAATATATTTATTTTATGTGCCTATATAGGTTTAAATGTAGCGACACCAAGAGGACTGGACCAAAAAAAAAGGAGGCCACGTGAAAAGGAAAGATTGGATAGAACGCTGAAAAGGAAACTCTGTAAAACGGAAACACCAAATGCTGATAAGAAGCAAATTGTGAAGAGCAAAATCAGCAGCAAAATGACTTGGCTATTAGAGCCGCCTTTTGTTAATTCTTCAATCCCTTTTCACTCTCATCCCCACAATCTCTATATCCGAAACAACTCTTTTTCCAAACCCATTTCTGCCGCCCCCGGAGCTGTAAAGCCTCTGTCGCCGGAGCCGGAGCCGGAGCCAGAAAGCCTTGCATTATCGCTTGATGGCCCAAAAGAACGCCGTAGAGTTGTCCGGTTGGCTTGGGAGAAGCTGGTTCGTTGGTCTCGCTCTTTGCGCTCTAAGGTCAAAACTGACGTCCTTGAACGTACTAATAAGGTACTTACCTCTTTTACTTTCCTAATTTCTCTGCATTTTTCACTTCAAGTATATTGTATGAAACACGTTTTTTTTCAAAATTTTCCCTTATTTTATGAATCTTCTAGTTTTATTTTGTTGTAACTTTAAGATACCGGTGCATGATTATTCCTGTGTGAACAATGAACTTTTTCTTGGTAGAAATAGGGGAAACCAGAATTGACCTGGAACTTATTGCTTTTTATGTTCTAGTTTTTTCCCTAACCTAGTATAATTTCTGAAGTTTTTATTGCGAGGGATAATCATTTCAATTTTATTTTCTGCCTCATTGCCTTTTTATTATTATTGTTTTCTTCAATGGGAAGATGAGAAGAGAAACTAGTTAGTTAGCAAATTTCCTGTAGTAACAGATTTCCATATACCGGAAGTGAGAATGACAAAATGAGAGAGGAGTAAAAGTATCTCTCTCCACTGCCTATCAGTCTATAATGAGCAAGAAATAGAAATTCTTATGACTGATAGTATTTCCTTGAGAACGATTTTCATTTTTACTTTCTTATCCATTTTCCTTCTTTTATTCTTTTCCCCCCTAAAAGCAGAAACAATTTATCAATCCTACAAAGAAAAGCAACATAAAAACAAAGGTCTACAACTCTCCATTAAGAGCACTGCTGTATCAACATTGATATTAGAGCCACGAAAAGGTGGCAGTAAAATAGCTTAGACTGACTTCTAATCGACCTAAGAGAATACCCCTAAGCTAAATAGTAAATACTTGTTTGGCTTAGTTCTCATATCTTCTTACAGAACTTGTGTTCGTTGCTAATATTATGTGTTCTGGAAACATTGGTATCTTTGCTTCTTATTGTGTTTAAACATGGCAGTGTTCCTTTTTTTTTTCCCTCTTTAAGTGACCTATTTGTTTGACTTCTTTATGTTATGCTTCAGCACTGTACTAATTTCCATTCCCATTTTATGCACATATTAAAATGCTTACTCTAGAACATGAACGTTTTTCTACTTATTTTCACTGGAGGGTAGAACTACTTTTGAATTTTTTCTGCCTAGATATGAAAGCAAAGTGTAAAAAACAGAAAGGTTTCCTCTAGCCTCCGTTCACTTATGGTTTCTAATTCAAAGAATACCCCTGAGAATCCACGACGAAAAGGGGGTATCCTTCTATCAACTTCAATTAATCCCTAGATCATCAAGTAATTAGAAATGAAATGCCTCCCACCCCTGCCGCAGAAAGAAAGAAGAAGTAGAAAAAACTGTGTTATTAAGTTTACTGGCTTCCTTTTTTTTTCTTCCATTCCCCCTTGTTGATGGTTCTTGGGGTAATGTTAGTGCTGATTGATACAATATTTAATATCCTTTGGTCCTAGATAGTGGTTCTTGGAGGTGGATCTTTTGGAACAGCAATGGCTGCTCATGTTGCAACGAGAAAGTCCCAGTTGGAAGTGAATATGCTTGTAAGAGATCCTCAAGTTTGTCGATCAATAAACGAGGAACACCGTAACTGGTGAGCTTTTGACATTAATTCTGGTCTTGTATAAACTTTAGGTTTTTAACATAACCAAAAGCATAGCCGTCACCTGGATCCAAACTCCCAGCAAATTCCACTCAGTCGTCCGATAAAAAAGGGTGGTGAGTGCAGAGAGAAAGAGAGAGAGAGAGAGAGAGAGAGAGAGAGAGAGAGAGAGAGAGAGAGATGTTCTTGATCTGTTGGGTCGTCATGTTAATCGGCAAAGCTTACCAGTTTAGGTGTTTCTTATCATCTTTTTGCTTCGTAACCTTTTCCTTTCTCTTTTGCTACAGTAAATATTTTCCACAGCACAAGCTACCAGAAAATGTCATTGCAAATACAGATGCAAAAGCTGCTCTGCTAGGTGCAGATTTTTGCTTCCATGCTGTACCTGTTCAGGTATATTTTATGTTTTCTTAGTTCATCGTTTGTTTATAGTGCAATGAACTCTGCTGGAACCATGGAAGCAAAATTATTATCTCATGTCCTAGTTCTTATTTGCTTGTATTTGCAGCTGAAGATTGTCCATTTATTCTGAATTGCTTGATCTCTTATTTTGCAACTATTGACCTTGAGGTGCATTTACCAATTATATCTTATTGCAGTTCAGCTCATCATTCCTTGAGGAAATTGCCAACTATGTTGATCCAGGCTTACCTTTCATATCTCTCAGCAAAGGTTTGGAGCTAAACACATTAAGAACAATGTCTCAGATAATTCCCAAAGCACTGAAAAATCCTCGCCAACCCTATGTTGCTCTATCTGGTCCTTCCTTTGCACTAGAGCTGATGAATGAACTACCAACAGGTTGTTTGGACTGTTTTGAGTGTTTATTCTGTCATTGCTTGAAGTTCAAAAATAAGTCTTGCTTTGCTTGTGCAGCAATGGTAGTAGCTTCAAAAGACAAAAAAATGGCAAATTCCGTTCAGCAACTTATGGCTTGTAGAAACCTGAGAATCAACACATCAAGGTATTTCAATCAGTGGTCAGAGCAGTAACATTTTGATTGCATGTCTATCATAGAATCTTACCACTATGGCTAGGGGACTTTTTGGGTGGATTGTTGAAACTTGAAGGATCATCAGCTGGAAATAAGAATTCTTTTGTTCTATAAGCAACATTATGAAATATTATTAAGTATTAAAGTTTGATTTTAAAAAAATAAGGAATTCTTCAAAGTTTTAATTTTTTTTATAAAGTTTTAATTGTTAAAGCTCTGATGTCTTTTGTCTGATTGGATCTCATCTGTTTAGGAGGAGCATATATTTGAAACTATTATGGATTGTATTGAAGTTCTGCTGATAAATGAAAAAAAAAAAGGAAAAGAAGACTGCTTTCTTCAGCACGCAATGCTAGATCCACTGTCACCCTTTCTTTCTTTTGGAGGAAAGGAGAGTTGTGCAGAGAGTTCTCCTCTGTACAGAATTAGATACACTGTAATTATTGCAATTTCTGCTGTTGGAGTCCAGGGGGGATAAATGGTCTGGTTGCACCTAGTCCTGGTAACCTACTATGTATAGAAGTGTCTGGAGTACGTTCGAACAAAGTTAACATTTGTAAAGGTTTTGCACTCCAAATGCTTGCTTGTAACTCCTGATGTTACAGTGATGTTACAGGGGTTGAAATTGCAGGTGCATTGAAAAATGTGTTGGCAATTGCAGCTGGCATTGTGGAAGGACTAAATCTTGGTAACAATTCCATGGCTGCTCTTGTTTCACAAGGTTGCTCTGAAATTCGATGGTTGGCAACAAAGGTTATTTGGGTTTCATCACATCTTAAAAGTTTCTGCATTTTCTGTCTATTATTCTTCAACATGACTCTCAAGCAGCTATTTGACTGATTATTATAATTCAAGCATCAATTCCATGTATGAGATAGTAGGCACTGTTATAAAGGTTTCTCGTTCTGTTCCCAAGTAATTTTGCTGCTATCGATTCAAGCATCAAGTCTACATAATCATATTTTCTAAAGAAGCTGTGATTTTGAACTATCAGCTCGATTGTCTTTATCCTAAAATACTGGTTGACACTAATCTCTTTCCATTAAAGATGGGTGCAAAGTCAACAACATTAACTGGTCTATCTGGAACTGGAGATATTATGCTCACATGCTTTGTGAGCCTTTCAAGAAACAGAACAGTTGGAGTTCGTCTGGGTTCGGGCGAAAAACTTGACGATATACTTAGTTCAATGAATCAGGTATAAAAAATCGAGCTGCTGTGTCATTTTGTGGTCTCGTCTGTTCTATCCCGTAACAACTACTACATGTTTAGGTAGCTGAAGGGGTTACAACAGCTGGAGCTGTGATTGCTTTAGCGCAAAAGTACAAGGTTAAAATGCCAGTTTTAACAGCAGTTGCAAAGATTATCGACAACGAACTAACGCCCACAAAAGCTGTTTTTGAGTTGATGAATCTCCCTCAGGTTGCTCCCGTGCTTATTAATCAATTTCTAAAAGGGACTTTTTCATGTCAATATGAATCTAGAAACACTTTTATACAACCTGTATTACTGACACCAATTGTTTTGATTCTAATGTGCAGGTTGAAGAAGTTTAAACAAGGCACTGGCATTAGAAAGATGGCGATAGCTGCTGGGTGAAACCTTAACGCAAATACAACCTGTGAATGACTTAGTTGCTCCATGAGGCTCAAAGTCAACATGTTTTCATAAGGATCTTTGCCTGTTTAGCGGCTGCACATTGCAGACAGTCAGAGGTGGACATAGAGCGGGTTCCATGGGTTCAACTTAAGTCTGAATCCATTGCTTTCGACTCGCCATAAGTACATATGCAAAATTGTTGAATTTTGTGGGAGTATTACATTCATTCTAAACCATCTGACTATAAATCTTAGATTCGTCTCGGCTGACAGTCTCCAAGTTTTATGGTGACCATATCTGTCTTTGAGTTCTTTCACCACGTTATTAGTTATACATGCCCAAGTATGATTTAAGAATTCTGAGTCAAGCTGGAGCTTGTAATTAGTCATCAATAACACTATTTGAATGAATATATTTGAAGGAACTTAAGATTTGTAGTCTCAAAGTTTTTGCATAAGAGTGTTCTGTCAGCTGATCTTTTTTTCTTTTTGTAATCTGATAGTACGCTAATGTTAGTGTGAAACCTTAGGACTATGCTTTCACATGTTGAAGGCAAATATAACTTGTAGTATTAGTTTTCCTTAACCAAATCATGTAGGTAGTTATGTTTTCTCCTTTGTAATAATCATTTTGAACATTAGTAGTTGTCATTCAAATTAGTTTAATAAATCATTTTGAGTAGTAGTAGCTGTCATTTAAATTTGAGGCCATTATGTATCTTTTGTTATGATAGACCAAATCAGTTTAGAAGTATCAAGACGCATATTATTCTGTGTTAAGTGATTTTATGACATTCGATGACAAACGTCTTTGTTTTTTTCCGCTTTTCTTTGAATTTGGAAGTGAAAGTTAACCATAAGGCTGTAATGCGTTGTACTCCTATTCTTTATAAATGTTTCTCTCAATATATGATTTTCCTGTCCGAAAGAAACCATTCCTGTGAAAACTGAATTAGCCAAAAAAGAAATGTTTTTTTCTTTCCTGATCTGCCTACACTATTCTACCAGGTAAAAGTGCTATAATGGTGGATTGACCTTAAAAAAAAAAATTTATCACAATATTTTATTTAATTATATAGGTTAAAAAGTCAATTAATGGAAATCTGAAATATAACAAACTATTTCTTAGATTTTGAAATCACCTAGTGTTCTATCCGTAACAGAGATGTAAAAGTGAAAATCTTACATACATTTATTTCCTAGCGTCAATAATTTCAAAGAAAACCACGCATATCTATATTTTTTCTTCTTTCACTTAGACCAATATTTACAACACAAGAAACAAAATAAAAGACATTTTCCGCTTCTCCAGATTGTCCGTGACATTTGCACAACTTAGGAGGATGAGATGCTATGCGTTTCCTTTGCTTCAAATCCCGTGAATTTTCCACTCTGAATCCAGTCCAATCTCTTGTATTGCTTAATTCAAAAATCAAAACTTTTATCCAACAAGGAAACCATTTTGAAGCTCTCTTAGCCTACTCTAAAGAACCTCATTTTCCTCTCAACACCTCCAAATTCACTTTTCCTGCTCTCCTAAAAGCTTGCGCCTTTCTTCCAAATCTTCTTACTGGGAAAACAATCCATGGCACAATCATCAAAATGGGTCTTCAATATGACCCTTTTATCATCACTTCGCTCACTAACATGTACGTCAAATGTGGGTCACTTTATAGTGCAGTCCAAGTGTTTGATTTTATTTCTGAATGTAAAGATTTGGTTCAAGATGTAACTATATGGAATGCTATGCTAGATGGTTATATCAGAAATGGGCTTAATGAGGAGTGTATGGGTTTGTTTAGAAGAATGCAAGAGCTTGGTGTCAAGTCTGATGAGTACTCTCTTAGTATTATTTTGGGGTTGTTTAATGGTCGTGTCGGTTTTGCCAAAGCAAAGGAAGTTCATGCTTATGTTGTTAGAAACTCTTTTGGTCATGATCCTTTTGTGGTTACTGCATTGATTGATATGTACTCTAATTGTGGTAGGCCAAGAGATGCTTGGTGCATTTTTGAGACTGTGGAAGACAAAGACAATATTGTAATGTGGAATGCATTAGTTCGGGGATTATACGAGAATGGATTATGGAGAAAGAGCTTGGAATTATATACTTTAGCTAAGAATAGGGGCTGCAAACTTATGTCAACGACTTATTCTAGTACTATAAAGGCTTGTTCTGAGGGTGAAGATATGGATTTTGGCAGGCAGCTTCATTCAGATGTTGTCAAGATGGGTTTTGAGGATGATCCTTATGTCTGTACATCGGTGTTGTCCATGTATGCAAGGGTTGGAATGTTGGAAGATGCAGACAAGGCTTTTGATTCTGTATTAGATAAAGAGGTTGAAGTGTGGAACTCTATGATTTCCGCTTATGTAGGCAATGGCAGAGGCGATGATGCTCTGCGTCTGTACAATGAGATGCGATCAAGAGGCATTCCTTCTGATTCTTTCACCCTGTCAAATATTCTTATATCATGCAGCATGACCGAATCTTATGATTTAGGTAGGGCAATTCATGGTGAACTGATAAAGAAACCAATACAGAATAACATCGCGTTGCAAAGTGCTCTAATGACTATGTACTCAAAATGTGGAATGTTAAATGACGCTCTTGAAGTTTTCAGTAGAATGGAGGAGAAGGATGTGGTTGCATGGGGCTCAATGATCTCAGGTCTTTGTCAAAATAAGAAATTCAAAGAGGCATTGGATATATACAAAGAGATGGAGACTGATAATGCTAATCCAGATGCTGATATAATGGCAATGGTGATAAATGCTAGTGCAGGACTAGAAAGCTTACAATTAGGTTGCTCTATCCATGGAATCACAGTCAAGACTGGAGTAGAATTAGATTGTTCAGTAAGCAGTTCTCTTGTAGATATGTATTCTAATTGCGGCCACCCGGAGATAGCTGGAAAGGTTTTCACTGGTGTTCCTAATAAGAGTTTGGTGCTTTGGAACTCTCTGATCACTTGCTATTCGAAAAATGACTTACCGGAGCTCTCTTTAAATCTTCTTCCTCAACTTGTGCAGCAAGGATTGTATCCGGACTCTGTTACACTTACTAATGCCCTTGCTGCTGTTTCATCTTTAGCGATACTGATTCAAGGAAAGGCAATTCATTGTTACCAAATAAGGAATCAAATTCTAGAGGACAATCAAGTGGAAAATGCACTAATTGATATGTACATAAAAAGTGGACGCTTAAAGTATGCAGAGCGTATATTCCAGTACGTATCCACAAGGAACTTAGTAACATGGAATACGATGATTGCAGGGTATGGATCTCACAGTGAGTGCAGTAAAGCTATTAACTTATTCAATGAAATGAGGAAATATGGAGTCAAACCTGATGGCATAACTTTCCTTTCCTTAATTTCCTCTTGCAACCATGCTGGTTTAGTGGATGAAGGCTTTAAACTATTTCACTTAATGGAAGAGTACGGAATAAAACCTCAAATGGACCACTACATAAATGTGGTGGACCTTCTAGGCCGTGCTGGACGCTTGAATGATGCATATAATTTCATACAAAATATGGTGGTGGAACCTGACCGGGGCGTGTGGCTTTGCCTTTTGTCTGCCTGTCGGGTCCATCAAAACGTAGAGCTTGGAGAAATAGCTGCCAATAACCTTCTGAAGATGGAACCTAACAGAGGTAGCAATTACATTCAACTTTTAAATCTCTATGTGGAAGCTGGACTGAGGGAAGAAGCAGCAAGTTTGAGAGCTCTGATGAGGCAGAAAGGTTTGAAGAAAAACCCTGGATGTAGTTGGATTGAGGTGAAAAATAAACTTGATGTTTTCTTCTCAAGTGACTCATCATCCCCAAGGACAATTGAGATCTATGAGACACTGCAAAGTCTCAGAAGTATCATGAAAAAGGAAGGAGATTATGAGATTGAGGCAATATGAGATAAGCACAGGAAATATTTTTCTTTACCTAGTTAACGGACATGTGCGTTAACTAGGCCGTAAGAGGGAACTTGCATTTTCAAAACTGAGGTACGCTCAAGTGTCACCCTATTGGAGCATTGATTTGCCATGTTGAATGATTAAGACTGCTGATCAATCTTACATTTCGCGATACATTAATATTATTGACAGACGATGCACCAATTCCCACCGGGAAAGCTACAAGCTTGGAAGTCAGAACTTCCTAAGATAGGGGATTGTTGTGGTCTCTCCTGCTCTATTTCCAAGGGTAATTCATTTAACAAGAGTCACTGTCACAGGCAGAGGTGGACTCAAGATTCGTTCTCACTGGCCACAAGACAATAAGGGTGTGAATCCAGTTGGTTCAGTCAGTTTTAGGTCAGTTCGATTCAGGTTACTAGATTTTCAGATCGTAAGGAGAAACTTTTGCTGAACCGAAATACGTTCAATACAGTTTGATTTTTATCTCTTGGTTCATGTTCTATTAACCGATGTTGATAGAAGGTAGTAGATATCCGATGAAACAGTCGAGGTACACACAAGTTGGCTAGACACTAGCATTATAAAAAATATTAGAAGACAAATGATAAAGAAATGCTTACAACCCAGGAAACCATGCTCCTCAATCAGATAATTTGGTGGAAGAATAACTTTATTTCGAATATATTCTTTGTTTACTTAAATTGTTATATTAAATTTCTTGAGATATTTTTCCATATTAAATCTCAAAGTTTAGACAATTCTTCGCAGTTGCCGTTTGTTTTGCTGAACTCTTTTTTTCTTTGGAAGATTGAGAAGTCTGCATACAAGACGGGAAGAAACAAAGTGGTTAGTTTCACGTTTTTGAGTTTCACCAACTATAATAGTAAAGTTACAATTATTTTTTGTCACATTAAAATAACAAAATTTACCCGCTAAAACTTAACCTTATAATAGTAGAATCAGCTTGATGGGCATGTTTTATCGTTATAATAAGTAAAATTTGTGATTTTATTGTTATAGTTAAAAAAAAAAAAAGTTCAATTACTTTAATGTGAAAATATTTTGTGAATTTACTATTATAGGGTAAAATTTAGCGACCTTACCATTATACTAGGTAAAATTTGCTTAATTGACCTTACTGTTATACTAGATAAAATTTGTTACTTTCACTTGACAAATAATAATTTTGTGATTTTAATATTACATTGCCAAATTAGAAGCAAAATTCATGTGCCGCAGGAAAAGGGTCCGCCATCAATTACAAATTGCCTTAATTTGAAATTGGAAGTAATGTGTTCAACATTCCGACCAAGGGTCACCATAATGTGAGTCTTTTGGAGCGACTGGTAAAATTGAAAAATAAAGCTTACAGGAAAAAGAACAGACAACAAAACAAACAACCCCCCCCCCCCCCCCAAAAAAAAAAAGGAAGGGGCGGAAGAGAGCCTCAGGAGCGATACTGCGGAGAAATGACGAACAAGATTTAGACGCCATCGGCGAAAGAAAATCACCAATCTTTCAACATTAATGCCTTAAAGTAATGACATCTATCTACAAAGAATTGATTACTTCTCTTAAAAGAAGAAATTCAGTGTTTTGACCAGGGGAAAATTAGTACTACACATCCCGTTGTCCTTGAGGAATCTAATGATACAACACATCAATAGAACTTTCAATCATATATTTCAGTCGGAACTTTAGCCGCCTGGGGGGAAAAAAAATTTACAGGATTACCTCAAATATGCTGCTGAGCCTAGTTTTACTTCTGTAACTTACATTCCAGATGATGTTCGGTTTACTCTTTGCGCACCCAATCTAGGAGCAGGTTTGGTACCTCGGCCTCGCCCAATTGAAGGTCTCGCTGTGGCAGTTGGTACAGGAGCTGCGATAGCAGCCCAGGGGTCATTGTCATCAAGTGCTCCACTTCTTTTCACATTCAAAGGTTTTGCCGAAGGAGCTGGGGCTGCTATGGCAGCCCAAGGGTCGTCATCATCAACTGTTCTGTTTGCCCTCGAGTTTGATGGCTGAGAAGTTGCTCTTGGAGCAGGAGCAGCTACAGAACCCCACAAATCTTCATCATCATCTTTACTCATCTTAGAAGTGGTTTTACCCCTCAAACCAGTAACTGAAACAAACATTAAAGAAAAGAAATTAGCTGACCTGACGATCAAATGATATGCTTCCAATTTCTTGTCTTTTATTTCCTTTTCTAATTCCATCATTGTGGTTCTCTCCCTCTCTCTCCTTTTTATTGCAGCAGTCAAAATCCTCCCAGTCATACCCCAAGGGATTTTAGATTCTCACCTATATTGCTCGGACTCTCCGAAAATGATCACCGGGTGCATGTCGGATACTCCAAAAGTAGTGTATTTTTGGAGAATACGACACGGGTGCGGCAATATTTTGGAGAGTCCACGCAACATAGATTCACACTGTATGTGGATACGCATACGCTTGCCTTTAGTTATACACGAACCAAGGAGATTCTAGAGACGTATATATTAGATGTAAGCTTTTGTTTCCACTCAAATTTACCAGGCATTATTACTACCTTGTGGTTTTGGTTGAGAGACAGGACGTCTTTGAGCAGCTTGAATATTTGCCAGAGAAGGAGATGGTTTTGGCTCTTCTTGTGGCTCGATGTCATCCCAACCATCTTTGTCACTGCCATTACCCTCATGAATTCCATTTTCAAGTTCTCCCCATCCATCAGTTGACGTTGGGGATACAGGTACAGGATGATCCGCCGCGTCTGCTCCTACTCTTATATGGACCGGTGTCATACTTGAACTATCTGCAACTATGTGATTTGGAGAATCAATATCAATAGCAATTCCAGAGACAAAGGCATCATCATAAGCATAAAACTCATTTTTGAAATAAGCAATGTGACAATAATCTCGGTTATCCACTAAGGGCAGTAGCATAATTAAAAAAAAATTGGCACGAGGCATACTTGAGCTAGCATCGGAGACTGCAGAAGCAACAGGCACACTAGCTGGAGCATTGGAACTCTGTTCTGAGGCTTTGCCACCTTTATGGGTCAGAGAGCTCATAGCCCAACTGCATCAAAGCAATGAAGGCATACTATTGAAGAAGACAGGGAAGAAAAATGCAAACTGCATAATGGAAAAGGAAAATTGTACAGCTTATGTAACCATCACATTGAAATTCCACAACATTTCATAACATCGTCATTTCTAGTAGTAATTCTCACTAAAAATTCACTAATGCACAATCAATGCCCTTCAAATTGACATAATCACAGCAAAACACTGGAATTACAAGTTAACATATTCTTTCGCCATACTTATATCCAAATTCAGGTGAATAAGCTTTAAGATTTGATTGTTTCAGCTTGTATCCAAATCAGAGTTATGGTGGTCAAATGTTGAAATAGAAGCAAAATAACACATAAGAACAGAAGCATACCCAAGCAAACCCGCATTTCCAGGAATTGATGAAGTTCCCATGCTTGTAGTGCTGGTATCTCCGGTGCTTGTCTGTATATGCCCAAAACAAAAATATTATACATGGTCAGGGTAAGGGAGGAAGAGAAGGAGGTTCGCATATAAGTGAAAATGCAACAAAAAGAATCAGTGATGAGGCACTGATGGGAGGAGATATTGACTACCATGAAAAGAACAAAATTCATACATATAGAAAACTCATGCAAGCCAGTAATATAGTTCTGGAATAGTCATAATAGCAGAAATATATGTTGAGTTTACCCAAAAAGCCCACCAATGTGGTAAAAGGTTAGAGTTCAAGAGAAATAAACAAACATGAGTAAGTTGAACGTAAAAAAAATATTTCTGAACAAACGCGAAAATTTTCATGCAACTGAAGGAAGACTAATGTCGAGGTTTATACAGGTAAACTGCGAAAATCTCCCCCACAAATGGCAGAACGACACGGCCCGCTGAACGGTATATGACCGCATGGATTAACAAGAAGAAGAAACTGTTGTTCTTCTGGATAAGAACAAGGGCAGTCTATGCCTGCTGAACAGTTCATGACTTCTAAGGGGAAATCCTTTTTCTTTTTTGCCCTTTATGTGGTTGCGCAAAAGTTAACCCACAAGGTAATATCATCTAGTGATCTCTCACCATAACTTCACAGAAAGAAAGCTTTTAAACACAAGACTATAGTTAGAAAACATTATGTCCACAAAAGAAAAATCAAGAAGAATATATACCTTATCATGGTGTTGCTTGACTATTTGCAAAAATTGGTCAACTGCTTGGAATGCTTTTGATCGAACATTGCTGTTTCATCAAAAAGGGAGCAGTGAAACCAGGAGTGTATGTGCAGAGATACACAGAACGAGTTGCAGAAATATTCGGAATGAGTCATCTATCTATATTATATTAAAAGCACGAAGGTCCTTAGCGAAATGTCGTTCGCCTTTTTTACCCTTTAAATTTTAATTATTCACTAGACAAAATAGTCATTTAACTATTTTTCTAATATTTCAGACTTTAAAATTAAATAATTATTTTATTTAATTTTTCCTTATTTAAATTGCGTAGGGATTCCAAATATTTAGGTTTTAAAATCCATTATGATTTTTCTAACTTATATAAATCCTTTCCTTATTTGAATCATGTAAAATAATTATAATTCTTTCCATATTATTTTTTCTAATATTTAGGACCTTGCAAATTTGATAACTACCCTTTGACATGACATTGAATTTTACAATAATTTGATTCTTAAAGAAGGTGTATTTTTAAAGCTCTTGTGTTACCTTTCAAGATAAATTTTGAAAACTATGCGTGCAACTACAAAAAAGTGCCAATTTCTTTTTAAAATTTAAAAAGTCTAATAATGGTTTTTAAGCCCCCCAATTATGAAAAAAGAGAAAAAGAAAATTATATGTTGCTCCATCAAAGTTAGACAGGTAACTTTAGTTCATAAGCATGTCACTTTTTCACTTCTTTTTTTTTTTCTAATTTTTTATTTTCATTTAATATATATTAACAAGAGTGATATCTCCTACTACTAATTATGGATGAATTTTTCGGGTTGATTTCTATAATAAAAAGTGTGAACTATATCTTAATTAGCTTCTTAAGAAACGAACTATTAAATTTTATAACACAAAAAAATTAAATAGTTAATGTTACCAAAACCATTACTAGGATATGATTATATAGAATATGAATTCATCATGTTTGTAATTTATCAGAATTATAAAATACTCATATGCTTACTCTCGTGCTTTATTAGAATATCGAAATCACGTTAAAATTCTCTCAACACTAAGCATTTTTCTTAATCTTTTCAATTACTTCTCTTAAATACTTTTGATTATATCCTATAATTTTAATTACTTTATAAATTCATAAACAAATGTTAATGAAAATTCAAACACAAAATTAAAAAGTGAATTAAAGATGGGTTATTTTACTTTTTGAAAATAGACTTTCCTTTGGATAAAAATGTAGTTAAATACTTAAAATTTTGGAATAAATTAATATTATAAATTGAACCAAAAATAAAACAATTGTTTTCTTTAATGTTGAGAACAAGATTATTTTCTCATTGAAATAACTTATTAGCAAAAGAATTAAATTCAATGTTTGTTCCTTTTAATGTATTTTCGGAACATGTTAGAGACAATATAGGGAATATGCACGAAACACATTGTCTATAAAGAACTATTAAGTGAAGTAATATTACAAAAACATATAATTAA